GTGCTGCTCAAAAGAAATATGAACAAAAGTATATGGGTAAATTGAGATTATGGGGCACAAGCAGAAACCATTAAGACTGTTTCTGAAAAGGAACATTGTCCCCATTCTGTCACATGTGCTGTTTTCCTTCACTACATATGAACTACATACTATGATATAAACTGTCATAGGGTCCCGCTAATGCCACTTTGAAAAGCTTACATCTCTCCTGTGCTTTACTTATATTTTGAGAGTTCTCACCTGGGATATTTTATATAATGACAGCTAGAAAAGCTACAGCCTTTTAAGTCTTTAAGTTTTACAATGTTAGTGGATAATTCAGAATTTCATAGAGTTGTACAATCCTTCTAACTCATGGTCATGTTTGCATTTTCTCAATAAGATTCTCCTGATGTTTGGACATCGTATACTTGAGCAGAGCCACATGTAGTACTGAGCATAGATTAAGTTCTTAGATGAATGCTTTCTACTTCATTTGCACACTTTTTTTTATTCACTAACTTAGAATATGCAATCATTTTATTTGTTTTTAAAAGCTATAAAATATTTACTCAAAGTACATTGCGTATCCTCAATTCACTAAAATTTTATATCTAATGAACACTCGAATGTTACTCCACTGATTGACTTTTATTAATTTTTCCATTCTGTGTCTCAGTCACAATGCTCTGAAAGAATGAAAAGCATAAGGCATGCTGTCCTTCAGCAAAGAATGCTGACAGTCTTTCACTTAAGTTCAATTTAATAATCAGAGCAATGGGAAAAATGATGCTTTTGGGGGAGTATTCCCTATTAATCACTAAGGTAACCATTTAACCAAAACTGAAAAGGAAAAGAAAGGAAGAAAATCTCAGAGTTGAGAATTTTAGTTCAAGGTGGACTTTATTAATGTCCTACATTTACAATTTTTTTCATGTCATTTTATTGTTGATAGGAAATCAATAAATTTATTGTACAGTGTGACATAAAGTTTATATAAAAATGAAATATTGAAAACACATAACTCTCATGATATCTTTTTTTTCCATTGATAGATAATTGTCTTTTGTGAAGTTGGTTTTAAAATTTGCAGTCAGTAGCATATAGAATGTTTTTAAAATTATTCAGACTATAATCTTTGTAATCCCAAATCATGTCGAAAGCTCTTTGTTCTCAAATGCATAGACTGTACCTAAATGTTGTTTACTTGGGCAACTGGAAAAGAGAGCAGATTTAACTGGTATGAAGTATGCACTATTTTATCAGTCATAAATGTAAGACTGAAAAGAAGCACTGACACTTAGACATTTATAAATTTTATATTGTGGTCTGGGATCATGAGAATTTTTCTCAATAGACTTAATATAATGAAATAAATCTTGGCTCTGAGATACAGAATATTAGTCTCACTGCATCCCACTTTTGCCTTTATTATAATAATAGCAGCCCACCTTGTAACTACTTAGAAATAACATATCTTCTTTATACTTATAAGATTTTTACAAAATTAAAAATTGTATCAATTGAAAAGAGTCATATATACATTGCATATTTATAAAAGCAATGTGATTATTATTTCTATTATGTCAAAGAAATGGATTACCATATGCATTTTTACAAAGCCTCATGATTTCTTTATTGTACAATATTCACAGTCTTTTCTTCTACATATTTTGAAATATATAATACATTATCACTGACTATAGTAACCCTACTGTTCAGCAGGACACCAAATTTAGTTCTTCTTTTGTACTCAGACAAATCAGCATAAAACAAATAAATAAGCAAGTGAACAAACAAAAAAGACCTTGAATAAAACATTCTAGAGAAGATTGAATAGACATATCTTTAAAGAAGGCATACAGATAATTATCGAGTATTTTAAAAAATTCAACTCTGATAATCATTAGAGGAATGCAAATCAAAAGCACTTTGCTCCATATTCCTTATTTTTTTGTACTTTATTTTATTAGAGTAGTTTTCCTGCCCGCCTCTGATTATAATTCTCATCTCCATCTGTAATCCTTTTTCTCCCCACCATATCTCCACTGTATCTCTAATCATTGCTTAGATCTGAAGCTAAATATCTCTAATACAAGGAATCATTTCTTCATTGAAGTCTACATTGAAATATTTCCTTTTAAATAGATCACCTGGCCTTGTGACTTCATGGTGTGCTATAGTTAAATGTGAATTACCTGTAAGTTAAATTGGTTACTCTTTCTGATTTCCAATAGGATATATAGCTCATTTGCATTGAATTTTTTTGTCATGAAAATCAATGCACACAATAATGCAAAAGGTACACACTGAAAACCCAATAAATCTTAGAATAATTAAATGCATAAATGTAAATCAAATAAATGATGTTTTAGTAAAATATATACAGGCAGAAAAGTTTTCTAAAACTAAAGAATATCATATTTAAATTGAAGCCACAGGGCCTGGGTTATGGCTCAGTGATAGAATGCTTGCCTAACATGCATGAGGCATTGGGTTGGGTCCCCAGCACCATATAAATAGATAGATAGATAGATACATAGATAGATAGATAGATAAATGGCACATAATGAAGTATAGGATGTTTAATAAACTAGAAACTACTAGTATGTCGCCATGCATTACTGAGATTTCTCAAACTATAGGTTTTAAACAAAACAACACCATTTTGAAGTTCTGTATAATATGTATTTGTAGGATATTTATTAAAATAAAGTTTTATTTTTCAGCTTTTTTATGCTCACTTTCACATCTTTGTTCCGCAGGCTATAAATCAGAGGATTCAACATGGGAATCACAAGGGTGTAGAACAGTGAACTCATTTTATCTTGATCCAGAGAGTAGGCAGAACTTGGTCGGAAATACATGAAGAGTATAGTGCCCTGGAAAATTATAACTACAATTAAGTGGGAGGCACAGGTGGAGAAAGCCTTAAGCCTCCCCTCAGCAGAGCAGATTTTTAAGACAGATGAGATGATGTAGCCATAAGAGACAAGGACTCCACAAATGGCACTCAGTTCAATGAAACCAGAAAAGATGAATATCACTAACTCATTGACCTGTGTGTCAGAGCAAGAAAGTAACAGGAGAGGAGGGATGTCACAGAAGAAATGATTAATCTCATTAGACCCACAGAAACATAAGCGGAATGTTAATGTTGTGTGTATCAAAGCGTCAAGCAGACCTATGAGGTAAACCCCAGCCATGAGCAGTGAACACACCTTAGTGGACATGTCTACTGCATAGCGCAAGGGGTTGCTGATGGCCTTGTACCTATCAAAGGCCATCACTGCCAGCAGCACACACTCAGAATCTGCAAAGTTACAGAAGGTCAAGAACTGCACAACACATCCCAGGAAAGAAATTGATTTGTTCTTGGCAAATATGTCGACCAGCATCTTGGGTCCAACTGCCGTGGAATAGCAGAGGTCACAGAAAGAGAGGTGGCTGAGGAAAAAGTACATTGGAGTGTGAAGTCGGGGATCCACTCTGATTAAGAAGATCATTCCAAGATTTGCAAGGAGAATGATGAGATAAACAACTAGACATATAGGGAATAGAATCACTTTCATCTGAGGATTACCAGTGATTCCCAAGAGAAAAAATTGACTTAATGTTGAGCAATTTCCACTGTCCATTCTTCTCGTTTTTTTTTAAGTACTCTGTTATAGATATCAATAAGAAAATGACAGATTAGGGGTTGCTTTTTATGCATATATAAAAAAATATTATTATGAGGCATTTCCTAATTTCCTTTATTATATTTATTATTATTATTGTTACTTATTACATTATTTTCTTTTCCTTCAGAAAATAGCCTACACAAACATAAGTGTCACTGATAAGAAACATTATTATATTTTTAAAAAGAAGCTAAAAAGTCTAACATAAGAACTGATTAACTTTGCTTTCAATTTTATATATAATTTCTGACTATATGACTTTAGACTTAAATAAAACAGTAGATGGGCAATTGGCATATATTGGCATTTGCAATGTGTTGCCTTTATTAATGTTAGAATAAAAGTAGAATAAAATTACATTTTCATGTACCCACATCCCTTGGAGAAAGATTTTGCAAAGGAGTGGATTTCTAAAATATAAATAAGTAACAGTGCAACAGTCCTTATTCAAATGACAAATTAAGTCAGTTAAACTACCATAGGTCTATCAGGAAAACACTATTGGTCATTACACAGAGGGGTTTATTTACTTGAGTAAGAAGGTGTGAAACCAGTCACATACACATCTATCAAGACTTAATTTTTCATTAGTAAGTCAAGTCATATTTTTTCCATTACTTTTAAGCATACCCACTCAGAGACTTACCCAAGATGAGAAAGTCTGTCTGTCCTTATCTCTGGTGCCTGAATGATAAGTAGATCACATCTTATTTTCACCAAGTGACCATTGGGAGTTAAATCTCCTAAGCCACTTCCGTCAATTCTTTGTGTTATTCAGACATGATTAATTAGATATTTTTCTGAGTATTTTCTCCTGAGAATACTGAAACAAATTCAACAGAGACTGAACTTTTATTTCTTTGCCCTTGGCACAAATTAATCACTGTGATAAATGGATCAGGACTTATTTAACATTCTTGTTTCATGTCTCTCATGACCCTACACAAATTAATCAATGTCAGAAATGGACCCAGACTTATTTAAAAGTCCACTTAGTGGCTCTCACAACTGTACCAGCTATCTGATGAAATCAGACATCTACAGAGCCACAAAAATTTATTTCTTTTTTGGAGGGTTCCAGGTCCTGCTTCTGCATTTCTGAGACAGCTTCTTGCACAACATTTTAGACAAATGGTAGTCTACAGGCTACTTCTTTCATTAATTATGGTGTGATCCAGCTCACCTCCACACCACCTGCCCTCATTTCAACTCACAGCCTCTTACTACAGGCTGGTCCTCTTTCAAATGTTTGTGTATTTCATCTTATGTGAGTGCCTCTACATTAGCACAGTCATTAGCACAGAGTAATGAATAGGTAAATGTATGTGTTTTAAAATACTTTAATTGTACACTATATTTATTCAACAACCAGCAATGAATATATTTCAAGATTTATTTCTGCTAACTTAGTTCACATGTAAAATGACTTATTATTTTTTAATAATGCATATTGGCATGATGTTTTCAAAGAAAACCCCATGATTTAATATTTTGTTTTCAAAAATAACTTTTGATTACTATTATTTACATTAGATACTGGAAATATAATTTTTTGTGCACACTCATTTTTTCCTGTGTGCCACCAATGGATGTTCTCCCTCTTTCTTACTTGAGTAAGCATGTATAATACCATTTACTTACATATCTTTCAAAATTAATTTCTCATTAGTAAGTCAAATCATATTTTTTATATTACTTTAAGCATAGTCACTTAGAGACTTACCCGAGATGAAAAAGTCTGTCTGTCCTTATCTCTGGTGCCTGAGTGACAAGTAGATCACATGTTATTTTCACCTAGTGACTGTTGGGAGATAAATAATCCTGTCTTTGACTTTATTTGACTCCTCTGTAGGTACGAAGATCTTAATCTTGCATTACATTTTTCCCACCATAAGTGTTTCTATTCTCCTTTCTGTAAATGTGTTCTTTAAAAAAATCCATTCAGCACTTATTTTATGAACCCCAAAATTATAATTAAAATATAGGCCATTCTGAATTTCTTGAAAAATGACATTTGTTTGCACACACTATTCAACTTATTTTCATATGTAATATTTCACATACTACTTTGTCTTTCTGTCTCTTAACAACCTCATTATATAGATTCTAAAAGTGAGATACCTGAGTAAATCAGTACACTTCTGGAGTCCCATAAAATCATATTTGGATTCCAAAACACCTATTCTCCTTAGGTAACTTATTACAGTGTAATAGAAAAAAAAAACAGATATCCCCTTGGAAAAATATTATCTTGGTTGCTTTCATGAAAAGTTATAGAATCTGTGCAGAGATTCAGATTTCTAAGACTTTGAAATTGTAAGATGATGGAAATTGTAATCCAAGTCTCATCTCTACACCTAGGATAGATTCTCCCAGAAATTAAGCACAGATGGAAGTAGTAGGAAAAGCTACCAGATTGATGCATAATCTGTGTTATTAACTTTAACTGGATACTTCCATATTATTAACTTTGGTTTGCATAAGTCTTCCACATCACACAATTCTAGAATCACATACAACATTAAGAAAACTCCAGGATCTGTGCCATATTCTGAGTGATATTTTTTTAAAATAATGCATATTGGTATGATGTTTTCAAAGAAAACCCCATGATTTAATTTTTTTTTCAAAAATAATTTTTGCTTATCATTAATTATAGTACGTATTGGGAGTATAATTTATTGTGCAGACTCATTTTTCTTGTACAACCAACAATGAGTGTGCTTCCTCCTTCAGTCTTGCCAATCATCCTTGTCTTTGACTTTATTTAACTCCTTTGTTGATGCAAAGACCTTAATCTTGCATTACATTCTTCCCACCATAAAAGTGTCTCTATTGTCCTTTCTGTAAATGTGTTATTTGAGTATCTTTTCATTCAGCCCTGAATTTATGAGTACCAAATTTATTAATTTAATTATACACCATTGTGGATATCTTACAAAATGCCATTTGCTTTCACATATTATTCAACTTATTTCTAGTTTTATTTCATTTTTTAAAAATTTATTTTTAGTTATAGTTCAAAACAATATCTTCATTTTATTTATTTATTTTTATGTGGTGCTGAGGATCGAGCTCAGGTCCGCACATGTACAGGGTGAGCCTTGTACCGCTGAGCCCCAGCCCCAGCACATTCAACTTATTTCTATATATAATATTTAACATACTATTTTGTCTTTCTGCCTCTTTTCAACCTTATTATACAGATTCTAAAGGTGAAAAACATGAGTGATCAGTAAACTTCTGGAGTTCCATAAACATCATACTTGGACTCCTATTCTCATTAGGTTTCTCACTACAGTACTGAAAGAGAGAGAGAGGGAGTGAGAGAGAGAGATCTATGAAAAAAAATCTTGTTTGCTTTCATGAAAAGTTATAGAGTCTTTGTGCAGAAATTCAGATTTCTCAGACAATGGAATTGTCATCCAAGTCTCATCTCTATACCTAGGCTAGATTCTCCCAGAGATTAAGTATAGAGGGAAACAGTAGGAAAAGCTGCCAGATTGTTGTGTAATTTGTGTTATTCATTTTAACTGGATATTTCCATATCATAAATTTTGGTTTGCAGAGAACTTCCACATCACACAATTCTAAGAATCACATAAAACGTTAAAAAAAATGGTGCCCCAGTGCCTGAGCCATGTTCTGAGTGATATTTTATAATGTGTCAATGGTTCCAGTATAAACAGATATTGATTAATGATGTTGACTCTAATGTGAAACTATATACAGTATGTATTTATATGATTTTATATGTACTTTAAAGCACATTTAGTGCAGTACTCTATTTTTCTAACTAAAAACAAATGATAATTTTCTATGTACAAAATTAATATAAGAGCTGATAAATAAAAGACCATGTATGTACACAGATACTGCAAGGAATTTCAGTGTCATGTCTTACCTGGTAGTACCCTGGAATAATATTTCCTGAAACTTAGTCTATATATTAAGCAAAACATAGTTTGACAGAGGTATCAATATTGATTCTTTAGCACAGTATTTATTGGATAAATCTCCCTATGCTGCATTTCAAAATGAGCAGAAATGAACGAACTTCCCACTAACTAATAATGTCTAATTTTTGAACATATATAAATGCTTATTACTCTTATTTGATTAATATACATTAATTGTATACAACAATTGAATTACCATTATGGATCACACAAAGATGTACAATAGTTTAAATAAAACTAAAATCATTAAAATGTCATTAATTTTGGAAAAGGGTTATAGTTGCTTAGTGATGCATTATTATTCTTTGAGTGAGGGTGCTGATACAAATACACTAAATCTACTGCTTTAAGGGGTATTGTTGAAGTCAAGCCCTAATTAATAAATTGTAATTTTATACACCCCTTAACCTGAAGACACTGATACATTTATGCTACCCAAGAGGTTTACATGCTCTTTTTTCTGTTGCACATTTGAAGGAATGGAAATTATTCTTCATTTAGATCCATTTTCCTATCAGGTGATGCATTCTCAGTCTCTTGGGATGGATGACAATTTTTTCCAAGTTGCACTTGACTTAGGCAAGACCTAAATTTGATTTCCTGAACATGACTCATCATCAGAAAATATAACTTCTCTCCAATGCTTTCTTTAAAACTTGAGTAAAACAGCCTCATGATAATTATTAATAATAGAATGATTATATATATATTTATTTTTTTAGTTGTAGGTGGACACAATATCATTATTTTATTTTTATATGTTGCTGAGGATCAATCCCAGTGCCTCACACATGCTAGGCAAGCGTTCTTCCTCTGAGCCATAACCCCAGCCCAGAATGATTATATTTTTAAAGGGATTTGTAAGTTGTTGAATATGGCTCTATTGAACGATGAAAGAAAATGACAGAATATAAGCAATCAGAAATAAGCCAATTGAAAAAGCATTTGTTTCTGAACTATTTCCTTGGTGGCCATAGTTCTCTTTAAACATGTATAATATTACATTGGCAGCTGTCTGCTTGTGAGCTCTTTCCTTCAGAGAGCTTTGTCTGACAATAAAACATGGACTATTATGATGTAATGGTGATGTGAGGCCTATTTGGATGTGTTCCAGTAATGTGAGAGTACAAATTATGGGGGCATTGGGACCCTATCCCTTCTTCTTTTTATCCAGATCAGATACCAGAGCACTAATAGAACCTCAGAGTTTTCTGAAAGCACCCTCCTAAGCCAATATGATATTCTATCCAGGGAATAATTATTCTTGAAATTTCTCATTAAATATTAGTTTGATATTTTTTTGAACCATGCCTAAGTGGATGCCTACAGGGTGCACTGTTTTCACAGTTTTATTTGTGTCTATGAAATTCATAAAACTTTTTACTATACACCTGCAGGAGCCCATTGCCATCATTCTCATTATTGTAAGGTGTTGCTTTACACAGATATATCACTTATGTATCTACTGTATTGTTTATAGAAGTTGAATTATTATGTCATTAGTATTATTATAAATATTCGCATGCACTTATTGGTGTAGAGACATATGTTGTTAACTTATCTTTTGTACAGAAATAGGGTTCAGAAATATTTGTGTATGATTGTACAGAAAATCGCATTTCATGTCATCATTTTTTTTTTTTACCTGATAGAGGAGTAGTGATGATGCCAAGTAGGTAGTGTCAGTGTCAGAAGGTCGAACACTTTGAAACACTGTCCTATTAACGGGTTTCTTGCTCAAGTTTAGAATTTTATAGACCTGTCACGTTAGTGGATATATAACGTTATTGGTGCTTGTGGTGGCTGGGGTAAGCATCCTCCAAGGCCCATGTGCAAAGACTTGGTCTTCAGCCCATGGTGCTGTTGGGAATTGCCGGATCCTTTAAGAGATGAGGCCTATTTGGATGTTTTACAGTAATGTGGAAGTACAATTGATGGGGACATTGGGACCCTAGCCCTTCTTCTTTCTTGTCTTTTAGGCTTCCCAGCTTCAAGAGGTGAGCAAATTCCTTTGATTCTCATCCCTACCACATATGATTGCTTCTCTACAGGCCCAAAACAAATGGAATAAAACCTCTTAACCATGAGTCAAAGTTAATTTTTTCCCCTTAACATTAAGTACCTCAGGTATGTATATTACTATAACGAAAACACTAAGTTACACAGCCATTTTCTGAGAATAGAGAATATAATATATTGGAATAAATCCTTTCTGACTTACATATTCTCAGTTTGCAAATGTCAAGAAGAGGTAAAATTTTTGTCTAGAAATTTCTGGAACACATCTCTAGCATTTCAGGAGAATAATTAAGAATGAAGGGGAAATTCCTTTTCCTTGAGTGAATTCACTTTCTAGGCAATATTTGAACATCCAGCGATCAAAAAACCACTTAGCATATTTCTTGTTGTTGATCTCCTTCATTTTACTACAAACCTTGTAATGGTCATTTTAATTGGTCTGGATTCACAAATTCACATACACATTAAAAAATACTCTAACTTTCAAAAGTACCATCTTCTCTCCTAGTAACTGCAACTGAAGAACCATTGGAGCTAGGATACTAGTAGGCTCAATTGCCAAGACCTGGTCAACTCCATTCTTCAGCTGTGCCATGCAGTTCTTGATCCTTCAATGAAGTAAGTGTTATTTTTAAAAACATATTTAAATAGTGAAATGGATTTACACATAATAGAATCATAATTCATAGAGACAGAATGTGGCACCTAGAAAGGACATTGCAAATAATCTAGATTAAGTCTCTGTTATGTAAAAAGAGAGTAAAGTAGACGATGTTTTAGGTACATACCACTATGCCATGTCTTTTGCATTATTATATTTAAGTGTTATAGTATTAAAAAACAACTCTACTATTCACCCTGTGAACATAATAACCATTACTGTGTTTATTTCAACAATATTTGCCACCAATCATTTGATGGCATGAAAGAAGGAGGTGCTTTAGAGATATCAAGAGGAGAAGGGAAGGATAAGGATTGGGCTAGACAGTCTGTAACAGATCCACGTCTTTGGTGCTGCATTTCACAGCTCTTTAGAAGCCCAAAGCAGAAGAGTCAATGGGGACCATCTGCCCAAACTTCTGTTTCAGTTATGAATTCACTAATAATAATTTCAAATAATACGTTTTCAACCTCACAGATTTCAGAGAGATGAAACTCACTAACAAACCTGTTTATGAGATTTTTTGTCATCCTTTCATAAGGCTTTAATTTTCCTTGTTTTTTTTTCACACCCACTTTATCTAACATAAGGGCCAATATAAAGCTTGAATTACTAACAAAAGTGAACATCTGAGAGGGATATGAGTTAGTTGGATGGAAAAATTTTACCCTTAGGTTATTGAGAAGCCGCATTTATCCCTTTGCCTAAACCTCAACATATTTCACACAATGCTTTCACCATTTTATTGTTCAATTTGAACTGTTACAACAAAATTCCATAGAATTGTTGGCTTGTAAACAACAAAAATTATTTTTTAGAGTTGTAGAGGATGGAAGTCTAACATTTAGGCAAAGTGAGATTCAGTGTTTGGGGAGAGCCTTTTTTTGATTCAGACATAGCTCTGTTTTCACTGTCTTCCATGGCAGAAGGGTTCAGGGTGATCTCCAGGTCTATTTGATGAGGTCACTAATACATTGTGGAGTTCCCTGCACTCATGAATTTATCACTGCTGGAGGGTGATAGTAATATCATTTGGGGATTTAGGGTCACAACACATGGGCGAAAGCACAAAGAAATATAACCACATAGAGAATGCACAATTTCAAAACATCAGGAGTTAATTCAGAAATTAATTTATAGGTGGAAACACATAAAGTTTTTTTTTTAATAAAGCAAAAATCCTTTGTAAGTACTCTCTCATGATATCATCTCCTGACTGTGACTGTACTCGTATGACTAGGAAACAGAGGCACTTAAGGGCTTTACCAACATTTTGAATATTTAAGACAGGGATGACACACCTTGCAGCTCTAAAACCTGAGATATACATTGATTTTAGTTTTAGTAGTTGTAATGGATAACTATAAATATCCTATGAGTTCTCTAATCCTTAAAATAGTGGCCACGTCTATATTTCTTCAAAGAGATGACTTGGTACATGAAGCCTCAGACAACTGGAGCAGAGAATTGAAATGTCAACTATCAAAGACACACAGATGTGAGCTTCTGAGGAGATGAATATCCATGTCTCTATAGAGTTATTACTTCAGTATTCATAACTATTTTATATACTTTCATAAAAATAATAGCCTGTGTGTATGTTTCACACATCATAACCTTGGTTAATTTTGCTTTCTTAATATCTGGTAAACACTCAAAATGCTGTTCTCTTGTATTTTATTTTTTTCTTTGTTTTCCCACTCTGTGCCCCAGTGTGAGACTAGTGATTTGGATAACAGGTTGGAAGTTCAGTACTTGACCAAAATATGCTTACATTCTTGTACTGGAGATATTGCTTTAGAAAAAAGGGTAATATGGCCTAAGAGGTTCTATGTTAAAGGGGGTTGGGGTGGAGATTGGGAAGAAAGCAAAGAAAAACTTCCAGGAGGTGATGAGGATCTGATTATTGTGAATGCCAATGCACATATATAATGTTAGTTATCAAAACTCTTCTTCTTGTTTTTTACATGCCAGTGTGTTTGGATTCAGTGGTATCAACCCACATACCTCAAAACTTCTCTATTGTCAAAACCTCAACCAGAATCCCTTCCAATTCTTATTGCAATTCTTTTTAGATCTAAGAGCCCATAAACCCATGGAAGGAAGATATTTTTCCTTCACTCTGAAAAATGTCTTACATATTTCCATGTGACTATATCTCACTGAATTTTTAAATACTGTGTTGAGGTCATTGGGAATTTCTTTTGTGCTCAGTTAATTAATGTCTGCTACTTCCATAGAATACAAGAGTCACTTGTAAATAAACTACTGAATATGCAGCAGCATGTAAAATGTTTTAATGTACAAAAAGTGAATTAGCAAAATCATTTTCTAAATTTTGAAAAAAAATTGAATTTAATGAAACATTTGGCATATGAAATGTTGAAACATGAAAGGATCAGAAACATTAATTCAAGAGAAATAAAGAAACATCACACATGGTGATCTAAAACCTTTATTTACAATCATACCTTAATACAAATACATATTTAACTAAATTGAATTATATAATGCAATTTTGTTTATTGCATATCATGAAATACAATTTCAAAAACAACCATTTTAAATAAATATGCATATGTATAGATATTGAAATTATTTAAAATCACATTTTGCTTTTAAGTTTTTGCAAGGCCTCTTTCACATCCTTGTTGCGTAGGCTATAAATCAGGGGGTTCAACATGGGAATGACAAGCGTGTAGAACAGAGAGCTCATTTTATCTTGATCTAAAGAGTAGGAAGAACTTGGCCGGAAATACATGAAGAGTATAGTGCCCTGGAAAACTGCAACTGCAGTTAGGTGGGAGGTGCAGGTGGAGAAAGCTTTGAGCCTCCCCTCAGCAGAGCGGATCTTTAAGACTGATGAGATGATGTAGCCATAAGAGACCAGGACTCCAGAAATGGTACTCAGTTCTATGAATCCAAAAATAGCAAATAATACCAGCTCATTGATTTGTATGTCAGAACAAGAAAGGAGGAAAAGTGGAGGTAAATCACAGAAGAAATGATTAATCTCATTAGACCCACAGAAACATAAGCGGAATGTTAAAGTCGTGTGTATCAAAGCATCTGCCAGGCTTGTTAGGTAAACCCCAGCCATGAGCAGTGAAGACACCTTAGTGGACATGTCTACTGCATAGTGCAGGGGGTTGCTGATGGCCTTGTACCTATCAAAGGCCATCACTGCCAGCAGCACACATTCAGAATCTGCAAAGCTACAGAAGGTCAAGAACTGCAGAGCACAGCCCAGGAAAGAAATTGATTTGTTCTTGGCGAATATGTCAACCAGCATCTTGGGTCCAACTGCTGTGGAATAGCAGAGGTCACAGAAAGAGAGGTGGCTGAGGAAAAAGTACATTGGAGTGTGAAGCTGGGGGTCCACTCTTATTAAGAAGATCATCCCAAGGTTTGCCAGAAGATTAATGAGGTAAACCACGAGAAACATGATGAAAAGGACCACTTTGAGGTCAGCATTACTAGTAATTCCCAAGAAAATGAATTCATTCAAGGATGAACAATTTTTCTTGTCCATTCTTCTCCTCTCCTGTCTAAATGTTTGAAACATAATAAATACATATTTGATTCCTCTTTTTTTGTACCAGAATTTAAATAAGACATAACACATTTTATATCTGTAATTTTTTATCTTAAATAAAATCAAGTCATGTGTTCTACTCTATGAAAAGACATTGTGACCTTTTTAAAACATTTTTGATTGTTCATGGATCTTTATTTTATTTGTGTTTGTAAATTTTTTTTGTTGTAGATGTACATGTGCCTTCATTTTATTTATTTATTTTTTAATGTGATGCTGAAGATCGAACCAAGTGCCTCACATGCATTAGGCAAGCACTCTACCACTAAGCCACAACCCCAGCCCTGTAATTTTTTATTCTAAGAAAAATATCAAGTCATGTGTTCTACTCTACAAAAAGACATTTTATGCTCTTGAAGTAAGACATGACTATATAGAAGGAGAGAAATTTTGTGATTAATGAGCACATGACTTTCTATATCTTTAATATCTCTGGATCTTACCTTCCCTTTTTATGAAAAAAATTTGATATACTAAAATTTCCATAAATGTTTAAAATAATATTTAATAAACACAGTCAAATTTCTTAGACAGTTTAGGCAGTGATACAAGTATTAAATATTTGCTGTTTATAAACATTTTTGTAGATATAAAAAAAGTTACAATTTTTGCTAATCAAAAGCAGTGATTGGTTTTAAAGACCACTGTGTGAGTTTTAGAAACAATGAGTACTATGCTTGGTCTATGTGCTCTTTTGTATTTAAGACACAATATAAAATTATTTTTTTCTTCTTCCCAAGAAATGTATTAGATTGACATAAGATTCAGTACCAATTTGTAAATATAATCTGCGGACAAAGGGAAGACCTTCTAATTATTGAAAAAATAATGCTCAAACAGAAATTATGGAACTTTCATATTTAACACATAAACTTGCATTCTATCAGGTTTTTAGAAGGACATATTTATTTAAAAATGAAAATCCAATGAGGGACAATTAATAGTTCTACATATATAGGATTCTTTTCTTTAAGTGTATTTGTATTTATGAATATGTAATCTTTGTACATGTGTGCATGATTCTTAATTGTGCTAGTACATGTGGACAGTAGATAATGGATATATGTATATTTTTATGTATATGCTTTCTTATTACTGAAGTGCCTCTATGATGAATTGATTAAATGATCAAAGTTTAAAAAACCTTATGTTCCTGTATATACTGATACAATGATAAAATAAGTAAAGGCTTGCTTATGATCCTAGATATAAATAAAATAAATATTACTTTGTGAATGCTATGAAGTTCACATTCACTCAGAGTTTTCCAGTTCTTAGAAGACTACATTTTTTATCATTAGACTTCAGAATTTATGAAATTACAAAATAAGAAATCATAGCTTGATTCATTTACAAAACTCTCCCCCTTTTGTTCCAAAACAGTAATTTTTTAACCTTATAGTTTTAAAATAGTTTTAAATTTGGAAACTTAGGAGCTTACCTGAGGTTAGCTGTTCTTTGGTAACTGAGCACTGAGAAGTACCATTGTATTATAACAGGCAGCATTTGGGACTCCAACTCTCTGAAGCTACTTCCCTAAGGTTTTGAAATAATGCAACCATGTGATTACATTTCTGGTCCTATGTTTTCCCCTGTGAATACATGAACATTGTAAGTACATGTTGAACTGAAATCTTGAAAATAGTCACTGAGTGATATATGTCAGAATGAAAACTGCAAATTTGTCCTATAGAATACATAGAATAGGTGCCTATTTTACATTATAAAATATAATCTGCATCTTCCTTGTCCTGATGAAGTTGAATGAATAAAACTAATAGGCCCTTATTTAGTCATTTCCACTTTCTTTCTGTTGTTCATCTTTTCTTTCATTTTTTCAGCTCTATCCTTCACCATCTAATTGCATTTTATTGAGATATAATTCATATACTATACATTTTACACTTTAAAGTAAGCACATTTGTGGATTTGACTATGTTTGGAAGGCTATGCACTCTTTACCTTCCATTTGCAGGACATTTTTCATCCCTTCTGCAGGAAATTCAGGCCCATTATTGGTCACTCCACTAGCCCCTCCCCTCAGTCCCTGGCAGCCTCTATCTACTTTTTAAACCCATGTGTTCTCCTAATCTGGATGTCAACTATAAGGAGAACTACGCAATATGTGGCCTTTTGTGTTGCTTTTTCACTTGTTTTACCAGTTTTTGAAATCTATCCTTTGCATAGCAAGTAACAGAATTTCCTTCCCTTTCATAGCTAAATTTTTTTTCTTTTATGTGTATAGTACATTTTATTTGCCCTTTCATCAATTTCAAGATATTCTGAGTAATGGTGTAAACATTCATTTTCATGGAATCTTTAAGGGTCACTTTCACCCAGTATTGCCATAATCCCATTTCCCATCCACATGCCATCTATCCACATTTCTCAGATTGTATGAATAATTCACATTCTCTACTTTTATTACTTGTTATGGTTTGGATGTAAGGTGTCTCCCGAAAGCTCTTATGTGAGACATTACAAGAAGGTTTATAGGAGAAATGATTGGGTAATCAGTGAATCAATCCCCTGGTGGGATCAACTGAGTGGTAACTGAAGGCAGTAGAATATGGCTAGAGGAAGTGGGCTTTGGGGGCTCTGTTTAAGGTACACATTTTATATCTAGACAGTGGATTCTCTTTCTCTGTGCTCTGATCATCATGTGAGCAACTTCTCTCTGCCATACTCCTTCTCCATAAAGTTCTGCCTCACATGAGCTCCAAAGAATGGACCCACCCTTCTATGGACTGAGATTTCTGAAACCATGAGCCCTTAAATACACTTTTCCTCCTCTAAAATTGTTCTTGTCAGGGCTGTAAGTCTCAGCAGTGAAAAAGTTGATTAAAACAGTATTTTCGTTTTAAATTAAACTTTATTTATTCAATTAAGAATAAAATTTTAGGAATAATATTCGTGTTTCATTTTTTCATGTTCCCTACAGTAGCTAATAAAATAATTTGTAAAAGTATTTGTTTACCAAGTATTTACTATTAACTATTTTAACCTGTTGATAATGGACTATAGTGTAAAAGAGTAGAAGCACGTTGCCTTTGCAGGTTTTTTTTATACTAGTAGTATACATACATGTAAAAATAATTCCTTTAAGAATTATGCATCAATAATGATTTTTTGAAATATAGCAGAGTTCTGCATTTTTCTATAAATAATTTAGTTTGCTGATATCCATATTCGTTCTTCACAAAATTAAGATTTACTGATAGTTTGACCTTGATATTTTGCAAAAACCCTCCCAGAAAAAAAGTAATAATCTTCTCTACATACCTTGAATCTTGGTCTATCACTGTGGTATCTAATTAAATTGGGCTACTTCAAAATGTTCCAGAAGTCGCCCTGCATTCACAATGTCTGACTGACCTGTTACTCTCCTTCTATATATGTGCTATTCAAGTACTGTTTTATTCACTGGCTTCAGTAGATATGTTTTCCATAAAGAAATGGAAAAAAGATCTCACATAAGTTCCTTGACTAAAAATGTTGAAAGTTAAAAATCAAACAATTTAAAATGAGAACTTTCAGAATTCTACATGGGACAATGACCGTGTTGTCATATTTAAGATGGCTATACACTTTGGACACATTTCTTTTAGAGACATGTGGCTTTTTATTCATCCTTTGACATTTCACTGTCATTTAATTGACTCAACCAGCAAAGATGGAACAGATAACTCTATGTCACGCCAGTTATATCCTTTAACAAATTAGATCTCTCAGCCATTAACTGCTGACATCAGTGTACACCACAGGACCTGCTCTGAGACTACAGGGGGAGGAAAAGAGAATGAGATGAGGGTGTTTTTTTCTATACACAATCACCATGGTGTCAGTTATGAGGTAGTAGCCTAGATGGTCAGCTGAACACCACCGGGTGACCACAGTTAACATGAGGAAGAGCAGAAAAGTTGCCCCTCTCATGGTTATCCTAAATATATTCCAGGATAGTGGTTACACAGCAAAAGATAACTGAAGTGGTGTGGATAGAATATATTCAGAGAGAAATATTTTAATGCTTTTATCAGTGCATTATAGTAATACATAATTATGGGGTTCACTTTGATATAAACATACATGCAAGAAATATAATTTGTTCCATTTCAATCCCCAGGGCTTCTTTCCATGTCCTTCTGGCTGCCCCTATTCCCCTTCAACTGGTCTTACTTCTATTTATTAATTGCCTTGTCATTTTGTGCTTTATATATATACATAAAGGTGGAATTCCTGTGGTATGCATGCATTTAAATTAGAGGGTGATATGTTGAAACAATTATTAAGTGCTTAAAGTTACCCAGATATTATTCACAGCAATTAACTGTTAATTCAGTGAACCATGTAAAAATTAAAGATCACCATTTTGCATGTATTTTAAATGAAGGAGAGAATTATTAAATAACTTGCTAAAAATGCTATTGTGTAGCCAGATACCAAAAGGCATGCAAGTCAAGGAAAGCTGGTTCTCTCACTTAGTAATCTACCCTTGTGAAGGAGATGTCCTATACATCACACCTAAACACCATTCACACTTTTTATGAAGAATTTACTCTATTCATGTAGGCAACATGATATAACTCATTTTAACATAAAGCCCAAGCTAATAATAATTTAACAGTTTGTTCCATAAAAGCAATTTAAAAACTTTTTAATATTCACTTATAACTTGGTATTATAAAATGCATTTTACTGAATTTAAAGCAAGCTACATCCAAATGGAGGAGAAGCTCAGTGGTAGAACATTTGCCTAGAATCTGTGAGACCCTGGATCCAATCCCAGCACCACCAACAACTAAAAGGTGTTTGATAAAGTCTCAAGTCATTACCACCAGGATGTCAGTTATGAGGCAGTAGCCTAGATCGACTATTAGCTGAGACCCATAGGGTGACCACAGTCAACATGAGGAAGAGCAGAAAAGATGCTCCTCTAAAGG